CTAAGAAGAAGTCAAAGACTTTTTTATTTTTATTATTTTGTTTAATTTTTCTTTCATCTCATAACCGAAATATTCATTTTATGGCAATGGGAAATGACGAGAAGATGAAAAGAAGATGAAGAATCTTTTGCTGTTTATTTTCGATACATTTCTTCAATGTAGATCATATGAAGGTAATGTAAACTGGATATGTAGCATGTAGCAATCATATGATGATGATAGAAAGTTTCAACTAAATTAGTTTGATGATGTATCAAGAGTGGAAAACTAGTAGAAGAAAAACATTACTGAAATCGTAATGTGACCTATTTTTGATTGAAAGAATCAGCTCATTAATGTGTAATGTGGAAGATGTGAATGAAGTGAATGAGATTTGAGGAGTTGGTGTTCCTTTGAAAAGAAGAAGTCTTTTGGAATTGCTTAGTAATGAATTTAAAGATAACTTTAGTCAATTTTGGTGATTTCATATTTCACGACGCTGCAGTTCACTTTAAAACGATTTATTCTTGACCTCCACGACATGATAGCTTTGCACAATAAAAGGATACAAGTTAAGACCAAAAAATTAACTTTATAATGCAATTTGAATGCAAAAGATTAATTCTACTATTACATGAATAAAATACTTAAACTTTAAACAAATTAGGAATCGAACCTAGGACTTCAATATTATGTTCACAGACATGTTGTTCAGCAAACAAGTTCATCTCTTTACTTTTAATATTAAATTCAGTTGCGCAATTAACCATTCTCATTCATCTTACCGAACAAACCACCTCAAATATCAAATTCACCTTAAATAAGAAAAATCTTCATTTCCCCTGCCTTAAATGGATGAAAAACTACTCGAAATTAAAATTCCATCATCATAAATTATCAACAGGATGAGAAATAATTTTCATTCTCACATCTTCATCGCTTTCAATTTTATTTTCTTCGAAATACAGTTCAAAAAAAATTGTTTACAAATCTTTTCATTTATTCACTATCTTTATATTCCCATAGACTATAAAAACTAGAAAGTTAAATAAGCTAAATTGAACCGGAAAAATTTCGAAATGCATTTGGAAAATGTGAGTGAAAGAAATATTTTTTCATTTGTGACTCGATTCTTGGTGAATAGTGAAAGAAAATTAAAATTTTTCTTTAACTATTATAATGGAAATTAAAGTGAAAATGAGAAATTAAAGAGGGGTTATTGAATATTGGAGAAATTAGCGCGTTTGATATGGAACTTTACAAGCAGCATTGATTAAGAAGAAGTGTCGAAGGTTTTGGGTTAAATCTAAGGCAAGGCTAGGTTCAACAGCTTAATCATAATTTTGTCAATTTATTCTCGAAGCTAGTCTATTCAGGGAATCCTATTAATCATTTTACAAGACTTAAAGACCTTTTTGTGCCTTTGTCTCTGCTCTGGTTGTTTGACAAATGAACTCTAACCTCAATTTTCTTCAAAGCACATCTAAGTCCGGTTTAAGAGCTACGCAGGGCGTAATTTGACTGTGTGTCCTGCAGACAGTCCTAAGAACCCACTCTTAGGTTTAGTATAAAAGTTTTAAAATTCATTAAAAAATCTGTCTCGAAAACCGCCATCAAAAAGTCATTAAATTCTCAAAATTAACGTGAAATAAGAAAAAGCAAATACGAGTCAAAGATGAGAAAAAAAAAATTCAATTAGTCTCGTTGAGATTGCATGCGTCAAAATTTGTCAAATTGTTTATGTTTCACGTATAAAACTGTCAAAGTAAAAAAATGTTAATAGAAAATTGGAAATTCTTGAAGAAGTAAATTAATTTACTGTCTCGGAGAGACACGGGAGTGGAGCACATTGCATTCTTATGTCTTTCGGAACAATCGAGCCATTATTATCACCTAAAGTGTAATAAAACTATAAACTTTATGTTCGTAAGGGTTTTATGACACTCTGCATTGATGTCTTGCTGTCTTTTATGAGACTAAGATGCATCATTATTGTTATTTTTCTCCCTTCGAGACTCTTTCTTTACTCTTTTTATTGCTATGACAATCAGATTTTGAAAATAGCTTCATTAGAAGATAAATAGAACCTGTAATTTATATCGAAATGTTGTAAAAAATCAATAAAATTGAGACAAGATGTTGATGTTGATTTTTGAATGGAAACTTGTGAAAGTTTTGTATGAGATTGGAACTAAGGGATCATAAAGGGGCCGTTCATATTTTCTTTGAATAGTTTGAACTTAAATGAAAATATTTAAAAATTAAAACACTTAAAACTTTTTATTTATTTTTTTCTCGTCATTTTTATTATTTTTTTCTTCATAAATTTTTCTTAATTTTAATTTTAAAAAGGCAAAAAATGTTTTCACAAATAGCGAATAAAAGCGTTTGGCAATAAACTTTCATTTCATTAAAGATTGCATAAATTTTTATCTCCTCAACTACAATACATTATAAAGATTTTTTTTTCTTTCATTAAGACACAGTGCAATATTTTTTTTGAATAAATTTTAAATTTAATTTTTTTCTCTCTTTTTAGGAAAGTGCATAAGTTGAGTTTTTTGTCGGTTTTTTTTTAAAAAATTTCAAAAAATTTTCTTTATTCTTAAATTTTATGAATTTTAAATTATTTTATCTACTCTTAAATGTAGAATCACGGAGTAAAAAGCTTGTCATTTTTCAATATATATTAAGGTAGAGAGCAGCAACTTACATTTATTAAATTGTAAAAAATCTAGTGAATTGCTCAAAAATGTATAGATTTTTAATGGAATGTAAAATTTTGAATTTTTGCAATTTTAAATTATTTCGATATTTTAAATTTAATTTTAAATATTTGAAAATGCTAATTAGAAATTATTCGTTTTTTTATAAAATTTTTAAAAATTCAAACTTTTCATTGAAAAATTATTTAAAACTTTAAATGTAGTGCCCTGAATTTTAGAAATTATTCAAAATATTTTAGATAATTTCAAAAAATCTCACTAAGACAAAACCCCTTTAAAATCTACATTTTTGAGTCTTTCATTGAAAGTTGCGATACAAAATTTTGCTATCCAGCAAACCCCCGAGTGGACAAAGTACTAGTTAAAAGCTTGCCATTGACTTGCCTTTTCACGGCGAGTAAGTATCCATTGACGTGCCTTTGCAACTAGACTTAGGGACGACTAATGACATATTTTGCGCTTTCCATTTAACTGGACATAGGAATTGCAAATATGTCTAGTTAATGTCCAGTTACAAAAAAATCGAAATAAAATAAATAACACGTGTCTTTTTCTCCATATTTTTTTCTTTTGTAAAATTTTATTATTGTATTAGTGTAATTAATTAATTAAAGTACACTATCACTTATGAAAAATCTCTAGTAAAAATTGAGTCTCGAACACTTGCGCGTGAAACAATTATATTTACTTAAAAGTTTCATACAAATTTTGGTGGACCTTATATAAGTGATTTCTGTAAGCGCTTGTGAAGTATATGGTCAAAAAAGTAAGGAAAATTATTTTTGAGTTTCGAACACTTGATTGATTAGCATGAATGTCCAGTTAAAGTCTAGTTAACGTATAGTTCTCTATATCGTATATATTTCGACAAGTTAAAAGACTGTTAAATGATTGTCCAATAATGGACTTTAACTGGCTGTGTCCACCCGGGACCTTATCATTAAAAATGCTTAAAATTATCTTCAACTTCTAATAATTAAAACTGATTAAAACTTAACGATAACGGTGCTAATTGTGCAATATAAAAATGTTTAAATGTGAATTAGAATTTAATTTTTAAAAAAATTTAAATAAAATTTTGATTTTTCATGCAAAAATATCGTGATTTAATCTTAAATGTATTTTTATTTTTTAAACATATTTTTGCATAGTTCATTATTTTTAAGCATTTGTTGATTTGAAGTAATAAAATGACTGTCACAGATTTGGTTGAATTGATAGTCACTAGAATCTACGCAGTGTATCAAACCACATCTGCGACAGTCATTCGACTACTTTTACTAAAAAGCAACTGTATTTGATTGTAAGTGTCATTATGTCACTTCAAGAGAGTAAGTTTCCTTTGTTAAATTTTTGAGTAGTAATAGTTTTAGTTTTAGAGTAAGAAATATGAAAAAAAAAACTCTTCATCTATAATACCTTGAGAATCGAGGGCAAAATGCTCATTTGAAATGAGATTGAACACATTTAAATCTATCTACATTTTTTATCAGCATTTGATCTGGTTTTTAAACAAAATTAATTAGGAACTATTTTGAGTTTCAATTTAAAATATTAAAAGATTTTAAAATTTGATTTTTTTAAATTTTGAAAATTTTTGTTTTGATTATTTTTGGAAAAAATTTGTTTAATTTTTTTGATTTAAGTGATTTTAATATAATTCAAAAATCTACAATTTAAATTTTCAATTCTTTAAAAATTCGAATTAATCTCAAATGCTGATCTGAAATTTTATTTAAGCTTCAAATTTGTTCTTTGTTTCATTCGTCTCATAGTAACTCCTTTTTGTACTGCATAATAAATACGAAAAAATGTTCTTTATATCATTTAGTAAAGTTTACAATAAGTTCATAGTAAATTAAAACTTTCTTCATACTTTTTTTTTGATGATTGTAAATCATTATTGGCACTTTTTATCATTTTTAAGTTATTTTTTTTTTTCATTGGCATAAAGTTTAGGTATTTTGAAATATATTTTCATGAGAATAGATTCAAGTGAACTTATGAGCTAGTTATTACGAGGATGCAGGAGAAGAAGGATGGATTTTATTAAAAGTATGGAACTGAAAAAACAGATTTGATCATTTTTGTTCATTTTAATCCTGAAAGACCGACCTGAAAGACACAGGGTGTAAAACTAGTTAAAATGTCGCTCAAGGACAGTATAAACACGACAATACACCGGATTTGGTGAAATTACGTTAGTTTTACGCCGTGTGTCATTCGGATCAATTGCACAATCTTGGATTCAGTTCCACAATTTTGGATTTAATTCATATTTTAACTTTTTTGTTAATTTTAAAGTTCGAATATTTTAAAAAAAAAAATTTTTGTTTTAATATTTAAACCCTTCTTCACCTTCAATTTAAAAAAAAAAAAACAGAAATTTTTGGTTTCCTATAAATCGTCTTCGATAATAAATATTCAGCATTAAGTTAGTTCCTTTGTTTATAAAAGTTTGAGCATCATTAAGATTAACGAAATTATTATTACAATTTTTCCTTGCATTTCTATACGATTTGCGCGTCCGCAGAATGTTCGATCTTCCTTATCTTTTTGTTTTGGTTCCTGTATTGAACGAAATTAAAGAGTTTTTGATTAAAAGTTTGTCTAAAGTTAAAATGGAGGATTTGAGATGTCTTCGTAATCATTGGCTCTGTAGCAACTGACCAGGCTTAACAAACTCACCAATCTTATACCAAGACATCTAAAGTCAACAAAATAGCTACTTACATTAACATGATGAGTAAAGCATGACCTCGAGTGCTTCCTATACAGAGACGATTGCAATTTTTCGCAGAATAATCCCGCCATACCAGTATAATTTGATACATTCGATGGCTCGTCAAAAAACTCAAAAGGTTGACCATTTCTTTCACATTCACTCTTTTTAATCAATAAAATTAAATTGCTATTGGCTATACGTTGAACGACAAATGGTCTCTCACATTTATTATAAGGCCGACTAAAATTGCTTGCATCTAAATTCAACACAAATACTTGATTAAATTTATCACATTTTATTGGTCGCGTTCTGTTAAGATGTCGCTTGCGGATGAATTCCGACCATAGCAATCCGTCTCTGCATTTGTCGTGACGTTTTGTAAAATTCTTTAAGCACTCTTCATACTCATCGGTTGAATTGTCCTTCTCGGTTACACCTTTTTCCGCTAGGCATCTTTGGAAGGAGCCATCTTCAAAATATGGACAGAATGATGACTTATCGTCTTCGTAATAATACTGAGGGTCTGGATACATAACTGACAATGGGAATAAAAAAAATAAGAATAAGTTTCGCTTAGCTCACGTAATGCTTAGCTATGGTAATGCTAGAGAAACTCAGATTAACTAGAGCTTTGCTTAAGTAACGCATTGTTTGAATGGCACCCAGCTTGAGTAACGATCAATTTAAGTACCGCATAGCTTGAATACGCTCAGCTTGAGTAACGCTCAACTTGTGTAACGCATAGGATGAGTAACTCTGAACTTGAGTAACGCATAGCCTGAGTAGCTTATAGCTTTAGTCACGCATAGCTTTAGAATCGCACAGACTGAGTAACACATAGCTTGAGTAACGCTCAGCTTCAGTAATACTAAATTTAAAAAACGCTCAGCTTGAGTAACACATAGCTTGAGGAATGCATAGCCGAAGTAACGCTTAGCTTGAGTAACGCTCAGCTTCAGTAATACTTAATTTAAAAGACGCTCAGCTTGAGTGACCAACTAATCCCCAAATAATAATAAATTTTCCCCAAAACCAAAATTACAATTATAATGCATCAAATGAACTTACGATTGGGTATATAAGACTGTCTGGCGGCATAAACAATTAAAGTTTTTAACGAGATTAATAAAGCTATGAATGTCGTCCATAAATGTTTTAGTGGATGCCAAAATATTGTTGTTGCACTCGATACAATATTCATTAATAATTCATATTCCACATTGCGATCTTCGTAGCATACACCCTGATAATCGTAAACTGTCACAAATTTGTAGATATTATCGTCCCATAAAGTTTTCATTAATTTATTTTCGACGGATCCGAAAAATTTTCCTTTATGCTCACGTCTCGAGTCAGCAATGATGTAGGCATTTGGGTCGAGGATGTAACATGTTTGCTCGACGTGTGGGGCACACTGTGGATTGAAAGGGAGTAAAAAATGTTATAAGATTTTAAATTAATGTCAATAGTCGTGTTTTACGTACGATTTTGAACAATAAACGTACTTTAATGTCCATAGTCTTGTTTTGTGCGTGATTATTGACCAAAATTTCATTTAAACTTAAAATTCATGCCTTGTTAGAGATTTCGATCATAAAAGTACATTAAATACCAATAGTCGTACTTTATACACGATTCTAGGTCAATAGAAAATGCATGCAATAATAGTTCCAATAAAATTTCATATAAATATTCTCATCTAACCACCCTTACCTTATCACCAAATAAATTCTCAAGCTCCTCATGTGGAAACTGAAAGCCCACAACCGCAACTGGAGCATTTTCATCTCCATCGGTAGCATAGACAGTCGATGTGACTGTGATTAATGGTCTATCTTGATATTGAGCATCAAATGGCAGTGAATAGATGAAACTTTTTTTGTCTGACTTTTCATGCCGATTAAATTCTACGGTATGCTTATACCAATCCTCATCGATTGAGTTTTTAAAGCTATTTCCAAACTCTTCACTGAGTTTTTTATTCTCAAGCTCGTCATCTTCGAAAATTTTGAATCTTAAAAGTCCACTGTGGGTGGATATGAAAGAGGAATAAAGCTTGTATTTCTTAAAAATTGTCCTAAAGTCATTTGACTTTTTCGAAGGCTCATTCGGAAAATTTACGGTGGCTTTTGCATCGTACATCAATGCCTGTACAAGCCTCTGGTCACATTTGTAAGCTCCCTTTTCATTCCTTGTTGTCTTCCATTTCCATCCACTTTTGTCAAATTTCTCAAAGTAATATTCAAGCTCCTCCTCAGGTGACATCTCACAATCATCTGGATCAATTCGACCCAATTTTATATCCTCAAAATTCTTCTTCAACGTTCGACAATAAATCCAGTCCGGATGTAATCGATAGTTGCCTTGAAAATATTTCGATAACAATTTACTTCCTTTCATTGCGTTTGCTTCATGCTCGGGAATTTGAATTTGATTTTGTGCGTCACCAGGAAATGTCACGACAACTGTAAATGGTGTTTGATCGATTTTCTTCCAGTAGTAATGACGGTTGAATCTCATGGCTCGACGCTTAATGATTGGAGAGAGTTGGGGTGGATATGGAAATGAGGAATAGAAGTAAAATTATAAAATTGGCAGGAAATTTTATTTGTTAGTAAAATTACTTAAAACTTTTGTTTTTTAATGTTTCCCGAGTAACATATGAGGGGGATGTATTGGCATTTTATTGACTTCTTAAGTTTATTTAAAAATTGACTAGATTTGAATCTAATTCTAGCTACTAGACTCTATTCTTCGTCGTAACATCTTATTAAGACACCCTCCTCACATGCCTGTCTCACCAACAATCTCTATTATCTATTCATAACAACTTACCATATCATCATAATGCTGAACGATTGGCAGAATATTTGAGCCCGAGTTGCTATCAATCATTGATTTTCTCATCTAAATATGAATGAATAAGAAAAAGATTTTATTGAATGAATAATAAAGAAGATGAAAAGTTCTTAATCAATCATAATAAACATGAAGGAAGAAGGCAGCATTACTTACAGCTAACAGTTCAGGATTGTAGTCTCTGACACCCTTGCTATCATCAATCAGCTCAACTTCAACCATATCGACAGAATTAAATGACGGTTTAAGAAGCTCATGTTGAAACTGGTGTGAAATTGGAATAAAGGAAATTAAAGATAGTTTGAGATTCCTCACTTCCTCACTAATCCCCCATAAAATACTTACAAATGGTCGAAAATCTGGATGCGCAAAAATGTGTCCATTTTCGTCTATTACAAATGCATATCCATTTACGCCCAGACGGAATTGTTGAAACAGTCTTTCGAATTCATATAAAGGCACATCAATACCAACAACTCCATGAAGTGATGACTAAATGACATAATGTCGATAGGAAAAAGAAGAAAAATCCAAACAAATTACATGGACATTAGTTTTGTGATTTTGATGACAAAGTTTGTCATGTGTTATGTGATAAATTAAGGCTATTCTCACCGATTTGCTATCTTGTTCAAATGCTGGCATTGCTACTGTTGTCATAAAGACATATTTTCGATGCGGTGGATCCTCATCGTCGTCATCTTCTCTGATACATGGATAATACTGATAAAATTTCAAGTAATCGACCATCCTAGCACGTTGCATATCTCTTTGTTTGCAATTCCAATCATAATTTGTTATTCTATATGCGTCCTAATGTTTTTGGAGATAGAAAAGTTAGAAGTTAAGGAATTAGGACAAATAAATTAGAAGTGTGACGGAAAAGTTTTTGTGAGAAGGTTGTAGAAAAGTTTCTTTTTTTGAGCGCAGTTTTCTCAATGAAGAAATTTTTTAAAAGCTAGTTTCTTGGGCTCTTAGGAAAATCCTACCAGAGTGGCTCCAGAAGCCGGATTTAGACGTCCATTCATTAATGAAAAATTTACCACACTAGGAATTGAACTCGAGATCATTAGATCTGTCAAATCTCCTAACATTATGGCCACTGTTGCCTTTTCTTTAATCAGGATCATCCAACAAAAATCCCACCACCAGAAAACCGCGCTAATCATAGCTTGACATAGATAAAACTTTATATTCAATCTTACCATAATATCAGCATAAACAGCTGACCATATAATTGGATTTTGTGTTCTATTTAATGCTAATGGTCTCGCCATAACTGGCAAATATTTCAAAACTTGTTCACGTGTTTCTGTCTTCGTATCGATTTGCACATAATAGCCACGATTCTCACATGCCATGAGCTTAACCTGCTCATAATCATGCTCTGGTATCATCTCACCAATTAAGTAGCTAAATACTCGTACGGGATTTCCTTTATCCCAATTATTTGACTTGAAAATTGTCTGAATTGTCTCATTATATTCCATGCCATCTGTAATCAACATAATTGCCTGATTACAATGCGACCCTTTCTCTCGTGTCTCACTTAGCAATTTAAATGTATGATTGAGTGCTTCAGCTAGATCCGTTTGATCTTCAGCTTCTATATTTCCCAGCGCTTGCTTCAATTCGAATATATTCGAGCTCGTTGCTTGAATTAATTTGTCACTGATGTTTCTGCACTCAATAATCGGTCGTATTGTATCATTGAATGAGAATACATTAACAAAATCATTGATTGTTAATGTATCAAGGATATTTCTCACGACATCAATGGCTATATCGAGTCGTGTGCCGACCATCGAACCAGACTGTTCAATCAGAATTATAATATCTTTTGATGATGTCGCAGCATTTGTGAACCAATGTCTCATTCGACAGTCATAAATATTCATAGGATAAAAGTCCCAACTTGTTGCTGGATAGTGACGAAAGAGACCCGATGAATTGCAAAAATATTGCCATCCAATTGTTGGGTCGTCCTTGTAATTTGCCTCAAATGCTTTGTCGATGGATCTTGAGCGATGAATTATTTTCGTTATGTTGATGTCTATACAGGGGGAAAATAACTTGGTGTGAAACGTGTACGCCATTTCACACCAGAGTTGTGAAATTTCACACCACTGGCGTGAAATGGAGTGAAATTTCACACCACTGGCGTGAAACTGGCGTGAAATGGCGTGAAATTTCACACCACTGACGTGAAATAGCATACATTTTTCACGCCAATATAAAAAAAAATTAAAATACATTTAGTGATTTTTTTTACGACCAGAAAACCTTTCATTTAATATTCCATTAACCATTAAGGTTTGAAAAAAAACTTTTTTAATTTAAATAAGTAAACCTAAGATAGTTTTATAGACAGTTTAATGGTCTACTTGTCTTTTTATATGACTAGTTATAATTTTCATGTGCCACCAAGTCCTTATCCTTCAAAATTCGAATTTTCAACATACTGTTGGTTTTTTAAATCTTCGTAATAATTTTCTTTTAAAATCCTACAAAACTTGTCTTCGTTAGTTAAAATTAAAATAGTTTAATTGATGGTTTTTTGAAAAACATTTTTCATAACGGTCAAATTTAAAAATTTTCCTCAGGTTTGTTTACATTGACAAGTTATTCTGTGATTTAAAAGATCACCTACAACTCATTAGCTACACACAATTGTGAGCTTTAAACATTTAAGCTGCATTACAATGCCCAAAAGTAAGTATTGTTTTTGTTTAATCGTGTTTTTAAACATAAACAAACAATTTTTTTTAAAAAAAATCATTAAATTTTGATAAAATAAGCTGATTTTTTACAATTCTAACACTCAGATGTGAACTACAAAAGATTGGGTAAAAGTTTAAGACTAATGAGTTTAGTGTTTATGAATATTGATTTTAGCTCTCTAGAAGTTCTCGAGAAAATCAATAGAATTCAAATTCCTCATGATATTGCGTTTGATTTGCGAGAAAACTTTGTTTTGCCTGAGAACGAAAAGATCAAATCTGATAGTTTGATTTCGAATGATGTTCCTGTATACTATCCATCAATTGAAGAATGCAAGACTGTTTTAGGAGTGTTTTGTATTTTCCCGAAAAGCAAAATAACGAATAACCGTTATTACGAATTACAAATTTACGAATGTTCATTTTTACGAAAATTTTTATGGTAAAAACTTATAGGATATAATTTGAATCTCAAAAAACCGTTGGTTAAATCAAACATTAAAAGACAATTTACATCAATTTCATCATTTAAATGCGAATAGATATGATATAATAATTATTATAAGATGAAGGATTAATAGAACTACAAAAAGAATTGCATTTATTTAAATGTGTAATATTTTTTCTTGTTTTATGGGTAATTCCAGAGGTCGAAGCGAGCATAGCGAAGCGAGTTTTTAGCGAGTTCGCTTCGCTAAAAATTCAACTTGCTAAAGTCGACCTGTAGCGAGAAAATTTTTTTTTCTTTTCGCCTTGGCGAACTATAGCGAACTCAATTTTATTTTTTTCGCTTTAGCGAACTTAATTTTTCAAAGTTCGCTATAGCGAACTATTGGCGAACTAGAAAAAAATTTTTGGCTTCATATAAAGAGATGTCTGATTGCGTTTGTGAAGTATGTAATTTCATACAAAATTGCAAAAAATTATAGTTCGCCAATAGTTCGCTATAGCGAAGTTTGAAAAATCAAGTTCGCTAATAGTTCGCTAAAGCGAAAAAAATAAAATTGAGTTCGCTATAGTTCGCTAAGGCGAAAAGAAAAATTTTTTTCTCGCTACAGTTCAACTTTGGCAAGTTGAATTTTTAGCGAAGCGAACTTGGTTCACCAAGTTCGACCTCTGGGTAATTCCATGAGAAAATTTTATAGCAAAATAAAATTTTTATAGAAAAAATATTTCACATTTAAATAAATGCAAATCTTTTTTTCAGTTCTATTAATCCTTCATCTTTTAATAATTATTTTATCATATCTAATCGCATTTAAATGATTAAATTACTTTTAACTGTCTCAATATTTGATTTTATCCAACGGTTTTTTGAGATTCAAATTATATCCTATACGTTTTTACCAGAGATCGAAGCCGATTTTTTCGGCTTAACTCAATTTTTGATTTTTTTGAAAGAAAAAAGCCATTTAACACCCATTTCAAGTATTTAAATTGAACTTTACATACTTTACTATGATTCTGTGTAATATTTTGTCAGCATGTAGCTATAGGAAGCTCAGAATTTCAAGTTGAAGAATGTTAAGCCGAAATTTAAGCCGATCGGCTTAAAATCGGCTAAATTGAAATTCTGAGCTCACTATAGCTACATGCTGACAAAATATTACACAGAATCATAGTAAAGCATGTAAAGTTCAATTTAAATACTTGAAATGGGTGTCAAATGGCTTTTTTCTATCAAAAAAATCAAAAATTGAGTTAAGCCGAAAAAATTGGCTTCGATCTCTGGTTTTTACCATAAAAATTTTCGTAAAAATGAACATTCGTAAATTTGAAAATTGTTTTTCGTTATTTTGCTTTTCGGGAAAATACAAAACACTCCTGTTTTAGATAAAGCTTCCAAAGATGCTGAACAAATGTGATTTGTCAGGAACTTCAATTACTCAAAGGTTCCTTAGTTTACTTAAAAAAAAATTAAAACATTATAATAATTTTAAATAAATTTAAAAGTATGTCAATTTCTATAAAATATTAAAAAAAAAGACTGTTAATTATTTTTTTTTTGATTAAAATTTTCACGACTTTGGCGTGAAATTTCACACCACTGGCGTGAAATTGGCGTGAAATGACGTGAAATTTCACACCATTGGCGTGAAATGGTGTGAAATTTCACGTCATTTTTGTGAAATTTTTGGCGTACACGTTTCACACCAAGTTATTTTCCCCCTGTGTCTATAGGAAATTTGGGAAGAAGAAGTGAAATTTTCATTATTGCTGTTGAAATAGAAATGATTTGGATATGGAATGAGGAACTGAGGATTAACTCTGTTTGTATGAATTTTCCGTATCTTATATCTTGCGGCATTTAATTCTGTTACTCAACTGTTTTCTTTTAAACTTAATGAACGGAAATTACTAATTTCCGTTGGCTGTAAGCAAATTATCCTTGAAATTTTTCCGGTTCTTGGAAATGAGTCTTAGCTTTTTTGACCTTGGAGTAAAGCAGCTTTGACTTACAACGATTAAATTGAGGTATTTAGGCAGTTCATGCTTAAATTTAATGATTTTTGATTATAAATCGAAAAGTAAGTTGCTATTTGTAAAAGTGAAAGTGTACGACGGATAGCCAGAAACAGGTAAGTTGTTTGGTGTCAGAGTGACATTGATCAAAAGTCATTGACAAGCAGTAATAAATTGTATTGCTGAAGTCAACGTTACTCTCTGTTACCAAATACATAGATTCAGTTCAAATTGAGTTAAAAGGAACTAAAAACGAAGATCCAGTAAAATTTAAATCATGTGACAGAACTAAAACTAAGATCTAGTAGAACTCAGTAGACCCGATTCTCACAAAATCAGTCTAAATTCGGCACAACATCAGCTTCAATTGTAATTCTGTTTATTTACATCCTCAGCATAATGTGCCTCACGTAAGATATCATTTTTCACAGAAAAACAGATTATTAATTCAATTTAATTCAATGTCTTGACGCATTAAGCTCAAAATAAAAATAAATCTACAGACCTAAAACAATACACCCAAAAAAATTCGATATTGATTATTCTATTCTCATAAATCCATCAATAATCCATTCAACAACAATTCTACGAAAATTGACTAGCAATAAGATACTAATCGATCAATAACAAAATCATCAATTTCTACCTTTATCATAAACATCGAGTGGTACAAAAACACCAGCTTCTTTAGACTTGATATCCACATCTTCACTAAATGTTGAAATTTTCTCATCATCATCATCGTCATCCTCTCCATCACCATCTAGATCTTTAATGTCTGATTTAATACAAACTGGAGCATCAAAATTTGGCTTTTTCTTTTTCGTGTAATTTGGCTCCTGTGACATTTGTTCAAGACGCAAATTTCTAGCATCTCTTTCCTCATCAATTTGCTTTTTGTGCTTATCACGCTTCCGTATATTACGGAATGTATAATTAGCGTACATTGTCGCGTTGTCTGAAACTTTTGGCATCTTTTGAACCTCCAATGCTATTCTCTGCAAAAGAGACAATAAAAAAGGAAATGAAAAATCCGGTTGGAAATGACGTAATTTGTTAATACAAACGATGACTCACCTTCACGGCTTCTATCCTTAAATGAAGTAATGAATGTAAATCTTTGGCAATTTCCTCGACAATTTTCTTTCCATTTTTGCTCACGACTTTTGCTTGCGAAAAGCTCTGCATGGAATGAGAGAAATGTAAACAACTAGTTGAATATACATGGCTATTTGTCATATGATGAACTGTTGTTGTACTCCAATACTGACGTCATTGAACATATGATAGATTCAACAGAGTAGCGAGTCATTCATTCACTACTACAACCGGGGCATTTACACATTTTCATATCGCTTGCTTCCCTTTTGGCTATGTTTTCTTTTTTCCATTCTGCCTTTTTACTCATTTTCTCTCTTTTCATTTTCATATTCACTCACATTCTCACTGTGACGTCATTGAACAATTTTTCAGAATCTACTCGCTTGAAAATGTATTTTTGAATGAGTAAAAGGGTGGATATGCTACTCAGTTTAGAGATCTTGAGAAAGAGCGCTTTTCAAATATTCAGGAGAATCGACTTTCAATTTTTTATGGGATATTTTATTGACAATGTTAATTACTTATTATAAAACTGATTAATTTTAAAATGTCTTAAATATTCTAAGCCTCGAGTATTGTTGTAAATGTGGCAAAAAAGCTTAATTTTAAAAATTCAAAATGTCTGACTTCCTCCCACTTCAAAAAGTTTTTACGATATATTTTTTAACAGATGCTGTTCCAAGCAGAATTATTGATTATTTCCGCATCCACTTCATGGCACGAGTTCAAAAATATAAAGTTTATGAATGAGTCATTCTTGTTTGTCGAAATATTTGCGTAAAAAGTTTTTAACCACGTGGTAGCATAAGTGAAATTTTATAGATCAATACAAAATTGGTTTTCTAGCTCGAACCAAGTTTTCAGTTAGGTAGCATCTGATCTCAAACATCATTTATTTTAAAACTGCTTACACGAGTTGAGTTGACGTAAAGTCTAGTTGAAAGGGCGACTATCGCATCTTGGTGAGTTCTTATTTTGAACTTTAAATAGGTTAAAGCAGAGTAATGGAAGAAATTCAAGATTCAAAGTACAAACTGATGTTTTTCTTTATTTAGCAAGCGCGTATGCTGGAAAGAGTGCTAATATAATAAGTATATTAAAGAGTATGAGAGCTCAAGTTGGCTCTAGCTTAAAAAAATCCTATCAACCTCCAATTAGCCCTAGAATTGTCCCGTCTAATTTACAACGGTTGTAGATGCACCCCCGCACCTCATAAAATTCTTAAATTAGCCACTTGATATCAATTTATCTAGCTAAACTCGCAAATGAGATTAAAATTAAGCTCATTAACTGTCAATTTGATTGAGTATTCTGTAAAAATAGCAATACTTAATCAAGATACGAAAGCTATAAAGATAAAAAGTGAAAGTTGGATGATAAAAATACACGATAATGATTATCTAGAAGCAGCCACTGTTTGCTATTTTATGAGCCACTCAACATTACTGTGCACTTGAAAACGTAGTCCAATTTCACGCACCTAACTATATTCAGCTCTATAAAATGCCACTCTTGAACTTTTTTTGTATATTAATTTATCCACCTGAAGTTCTAATTTCATTTTGTAGGACACGCAACGTAAATAATTGATATATCTAATTAAAAAGACACAGTGTGAGGAACATGAATAGTCGGACAAAAAGTAGAGAAATGAAAGTACATTTACAGAATAGACATAGAAGTCAGCGCGCGAAAAATAATGCACATAAAACGTGCTTACAAAATTGTCCAATTGCATCCTTACCTCTTGCACTTCGGATCTTTTCGTTACTGTTTCTGCAATATCCAACAACTTTCCGCCAATTTGTTTAGACAATTGTTGAACCCTTGACAATAGAAGAGAAATAAAAATTAAAATTTTATTTTTCACTCATCTTTAATGCTGTAGAGTTCTTTTTTTGGCATCAAAATCATGTCGTCGAGGAGCTGTACTCACATCTCAAAATCGATTACATCGAGACTTTGGGCGCCAGAAATCTTTGTATAGGAATTAATCATTATCAACATTAAAATCACATTCACTTTCGTCATTTTGAACTATTCATTCACTTTATTGCTATGAATTTAAATTAAAAGTTGATAAAAAGTTGATGAAAACTACATTAAATTTAATTTTTTTATAATAAAAATCAAACGAAAAAGACGACTTTTTTGTAGGAACTGAATCTTGCTTCTATCTCCAGCTGAACGACAAGTGAAAATCGTCAATTTTGTGCTTTTTATTTCGTAAAATATCCTCTTTTCATTCACTTACCACAACTTGTATTCGCGCAGTCTCACTACTTCATTCTATCCCCGAGAATGGAAATAACAAGCACGGAGATGAGTTTTTATGACTCCTGCTTTGCTACTACTCCGCTCTGCACGAAAAAAATCATTCTTTTAAATTTTTCCAAGGCCATATTTAGGATTAACGTTACATTTCGTTGCCTTTCTTTTTATGGCTCTCGCTCTCTCTCTCTTTCTCTCTTGCATGCACGGCACTTGGTGATATTTAGTGGAGTTATTTATATGTATCATTTACATACATGAACGGAATAAACTGGAATTGAAGCTGAATAATCCTTTTTGTCATTTCCAAAATAAAAAAGATTCTCTTCGTTTATGGAAATTGGCTGATGCTTTTGGGTTTGTTTTTTGGAGAATTTATTTCCGTTTTGGGACATCTTTCGAGAAAGATGTTTGCTTTCTTTTTTGAGAATTGTGAGGATTTTCTTGGGGTAATTCTTTAGATTGTTCAAGGATTTTAGGGGTCTTTGATGCCATGAACGCTATATGTTATTTTAGTATTGACAAAATCCTTTGAAAATTGCTCTGATATTCTATGAATGGTTGAATGAAAACAAAGTCTTAGTAGAGACAACAAAAAGATAGCTTTAAGGTTGCTAAGTAGCAAAATACATGACAAAACATTTTCTCCCACCACGCTTGTAAGTTGAACAAATAAAGTTCATAATAATTGGGTAATAATGCAGTGAAGAAGTCACGCATCAGGCATACTATTAGGGATAAAATGTGAAGGTATGATAGCTTGTTAAATAGAGGTTCTCAAGTGATGTCTACCAAAAATTGGTACCCACCCTTCCCCTACTTCTCGTACCTAAATATGTTCGTTTGTTCCTTTTATTTCTTTGCTCCTTTAATCATATCTTGAAACTTGGACCTCATTTACCAACTCACGGTCACTCTATACGGACGGAGCTAAAACTTCTTAAGTATGGACCGAAAATTTTGGTGATCAGCGAGGGAACAGTGAGTAAATTTCACAAGAAAAAAAAAACAAATTAAGAAATTCCTCGATGGAAAAAAGGTTTGACTTCAAATGGCAATGGAACCAGAGCTAATGCTTCTTAATATTACTCAGCATCTTAACAATCCCATTTTAAAGCATACAATTGAACCATTCTTTCAGCTCAGGCATTTTCAACCAAGAAATGTCTCCCTCAACTTGTCATTAAGGACAAGATCATAAGCACAAGATAGCCCGTGATGTCTCGTGATAAAAACATCATGTAACATTTATCTTATTTAGATTATAATGCAAATTTCATACCTTCAAGAAAGGTCGCAAACCGAGACAACAAAAGAAGAGAATTAAAATATTAATAATGGATGACCAGCGGATCAAAATTAGCGTTACATCTGACACTGCTGTAAATTAAAGGTGCAAAGGTTTCATAACCTTTTTTTCATGCTACTAATCTGCACGACATGACAGTATCTTCAATGCTAATTCATCTTAAAACACCATAAAAACAGAAATTTTCATCAAACAACACAAGAACGAGTCGAGAATCTCCATAAATATTTCAGTAAGTCTCTCGCATAAAGAAGAAATATTCAACTTCCGTGACATCTTCTTTCCAATCTTTACCCACTTCCAGGAAAGAGACTTCTTTCATTTCATCATCAATGAAGATTAAGACACATATACACATAAGGAAGCGACATGAGCGGGGAGTTCTGAAGTAACTAATCCATGAACATTAATTTTATTGCCGTTTCTTTCTCTCGTCTTAGTCATACCATATTGCACACTGACATGTGTTTCATTGTCGAAACACAAATCTCTCCACTCTCAGGGGTCGTGTGGATGTTACGTAATGCTACTGAGTTCCCCATTGCTTCCTACTTACTCAAACTCATGGCATCTATAATATTACTTCTTTTTATGGATGAGGAGGTTGTACAGCGTTCCATAATATCTAATCGACCCCCATTTTTCGGCTCAGCTTAATATTTCTGAGTTTATTTCATTAGAACGCCTGATGGGGATCAAGACTCAAGACTTAGATATGATGAACGAAATATTTAATTTATTTTATTCTTAAATGTTAATAATCGCTTTAGCTTTATGACTGTCATTTTCTATTTCTAAGTCTTAATGACGAGATAATGTCTTGTTTCATATGTTAGGCAGGTGCATTGGAACTAAACACTTGGTCTCGTATGTTGAAAAATGCCGTTGATCTTGATATGTATTTTGTATGAACTCCACAACCTGTGTGTTAATTAAATTTTTTTTTTGCTCGATGCTCGTAAAAGAAATCTAATCTTATCATAACTCACATTTACATGAGTCTTCATCTCCATTTATTTTGTAAGTCTTATGTTGTATTTTTATATGACGCCGAGCAGTCAGAAAATTGTAAATGAAATTTATAATGTCAATGTGACTGTTTGTTTCTTTTTGATTGGTTCAATATTTTTGAATGTTTTGAGCTGCACAGGTGGAATTATTTATTTTTATTGGATAGTTTAATGTGTCAACATTTTAATAATGAAGGGGATAAATTAGAATTTAGATCCTAAACTAGTCGTTGAGCGTCTATAAGTTATGAAATAAAATAATTTGTTCAATTTAGGTAGTTTAAGTGTGGCCTAATTGCTCATTGCATTGAAGTCGTATAGAAACATCCAAAACTGCGCTTATAAAGTTTTTAAAACTGCCAATCCCATCTCCAACTTCTCCTTCATTAATTAAACACACAGCAAAAAATACACACATTTAATTTGGTTAATGACAGATCAAAAATGTGTGATATAAAATTCATTTGCTAAATTAATCATTGCAAAATGTGATGTGAAGATAGCTTTCAATTTATCTGTAATTTCAACATTTTTTTATAGCTCACATCCACAATAAAATATGTGAAATGACATGATGTCACTCAGAAGAGATGAAAAGCATCAACAGTGAAAAAATAAAATTGAAGATTTTAAAAAGAATTTTGCAGAAAATAAAATAAAAAATTTAATGCACAAAGCTGAGGGAGAAAGAATTATGAGAAAATGGTCGATAAGGATCTTTCTGTCAGCATTTGCGACTTTAATTAAATACGACTCATACGAATTGATGTCGCACATCAAAGAATATTTTTCTCATTCGTGCACTCCTTCCAGTAAATAATTTTATTATTTTATTCTCATTTTTTTTGTACTCTCGTCTCATTCTCGTCAGTCATCAACACGTGTGATCACTTCACGATGATAATCATGTAGATGAAATCTATTCCTGCTGCATTTATTGCAAATGTCTCTATACGTCGTAATCGTCTTTGGTGTTCTCGCATCAACGAGATTTCCTCGTCTCGAGATTTTTTTTTATTGGATATTAATATACATTTTACATATGCTTGTTTATAATGGACATTGATCACACTTTGGCCGTGGATTGAGCGAAACTGATTTGTATCTGACTGTCCAAAAAGTCAATCTGGCTTAAAGCTAGTTAATCTAATTTTAATAAAGCAAGTCAAGCAAGTTCTAATCCGTTCCAATCTAGTCAATCTAGCTTCAAGCTAATCAATCGAGATCCGAACTAGTCAATCTAAATCCAAACTGGTCAATCTTGCAAGATTCAAGGTAGTCGATTGAGTTCTAAGCTTGTAAATCTAGCTGGCTCCAACTACTCATTCAAGGTATCACCAAGCTAGTCAATCATGCACCAAGCTAGTCAACGAGCTCCAACCTAGTTAATCGAGCTCCAAGCTAGTCAATCTAGCTTCAAGCTAATCATTCGAGATGCAAGCTAGTCAATCGAGATCTAAGCTAGTCAATCTTGCTGGTTTCAAGCTAGTCGATTGAGTTCTAAGCTAGTCAATCAAGCAGTCTCCAAACTAGTCACTGAAGGTACCACCAATCTAGTCAATCGAGCTTCAAGCTGGTCAATCTAGCTCTAATCTAATCCAAGCTAGTTAATATACATATCTAGGAAGTAAATGTCCAATTTTTAAATAAGGTTTTTGCATTTTTAATGGGTTCCCCAAACGCCAGGATTTAGACTTTATCCTAAATGGCTGCTAGTGGACCACGGTATTTTTTGTAGACCCATATTTTAATTTACCTTCCTGACCATTTATTCTTAAAATAAAATCACACCCAAAGGCACTTCTTACTCGTTTTTTATTAGTTTTAAATGCATCTTCTTTTCCTTACCTCTAATTTTATATTCATTAAATTATTTCAAAACATCAAGCAACAACGATTACCATAAAAAATCTTAAATAAATAAAAATAAATACGACAGAAATGGTCAAAAGTTATCGCTTAATTTCGGTACTTAAAAGAAAAGGATCAAGACGTGCAAAATTCATCTTTGTGATTGTGCTGTGTGGATTAATTTATGGATTGTCTCATTACATCCATGAGTGCTATATTAAGTTCAAAATTAAGCCAGAAATATTAATCAATGAGATCTACATCAATCGACATGAGATTCCGTTCCCAGCAATTACAATTTGTCCACCACAAGTAGTGAAAAGTGAATTTTTAAATCTGACAAAGATTCGTTCTGAAAATACAGCACTAAGTAATGAAGATCAGATGTCATTAGCTGTATCAAGTCAAGTTTGTAATGACCTTGTGCTGGATCTCGAGAAAAATCCAAATGAGAAATATTTTAATGAAGACGTAGTTGCAGTCATGAAGAAAATATCGCCGCAAATTAATGACATTTTTAAAGAATGTACAGCTCTGGATGACGCAAAAAGCTGTGAAGAATTATTTACAAATATTTTAACACCAAAGGGAAACTGCTTCACATTCAACATGCTCGATGAAAATTTATTATTGAACCAAGACACTAGCAGAGATGTTTACTCTTACAATTCAGCCTTAAATTCAAATCCAGAGATGAAATGGACGATGGAAAGGAAGTATTTAACTGATGAAGAACTTGTCAATCCTTTAAGATCCAATGTTGTACAAGAATTACGTTTAAAAGTCAAGCTTAACAAGAGTGAAGATCAGAATTTATGTGAGGAACGTTCTCGAGGATTCATGATAATCCCTCACTTGCCAAACGAATATCCAACAAATACTCACATTTCAACAAATCTAGAGACCAAGAAGCACAAGCATTTGAGCATCACAGCAACAGTCAAAAGCATCGATAATTCTTTTAAAGTATTTCCGCTAAAACAACGAGGCTGCTTCAATGAAAATGAGAGGAAATTGCGATTTTTTAAATCATACACAATGACGAACTGCATACAGGAATGCATTGCCAATTATACTTACGCTAAGTGTGGCTGTGTAGCATTTTTTGCACCCAGAACAAGCGACATGAAAGTTTGCCAAATTAATGACTGGACATGCTATTCAATTATCTACAACAGATGGCCAAGAAAATACTATACGGAACCTAGCAATAAAGCAGAATATCCAGAATTTCCATGCAATTGCCTGCACACCTGTGCTGAAATCAAGTACAACATCGTCAACGAATATACATTCGATCGAAATGACTACGATGAGTAATTAATCATAATTAAAAAAATCTTGTATTTAAATTTATTAAAATTATTTTCATTTTCTTCAGTGAGAATGTCTCTTATGGCACCATAGAAATACAATTTTTAGTCGCTCAAGTCACAGAAACAACAAAATTCGCAACTTATCAATTCGAAAATTTTATTGCTGAAGTTGGAGGATTGATTTCATTATTTTTGGGCTTTTCATTGCTGTCATTCTTTGAGCTATGTTTTGAGCACTTTGTGAATCTTAGAGATGGAGTCCGACAATTTGAAGAGATCATTCGTTCAAACTGGAGAATCAGGACAGCTATAAGAGAGCAAAATGATGGAGATGATGATCATATTGTTATATTAGTTCCTAATAGGGAGCGTAGAGCTACGACAACGACTTTGTGTTGAAGATTCTTGTAAAAGTTTCATGAAAATTTGAATAAAATAAAGAAACAGGAAATGCGCTTCTTTTGAACACTCTAAGCTTGGAAAAGTCAACATAAGGACTTATCAAGAGTTGATGCAGTCCTGCTGAATCTGATATTCTCAAAAAAGTACCCCAATTTGAATTCAATTTCTTAGAATCAATTAAATTCAAATAACCTCAAACATTATTGATCCATATTCCATCAGCATCCCACAAAAGATAATTCGTCTCTAATTTCCATCACACCCAAAAGATGCGTTCATGTCATTTATCTCCAATCGAATCATTCGATATCTATTCAATCTATTACATGAAGGCGCATCACAAATGAAAACTAATTAAGATGACTTTTAATATTATAAGGCAAGACACAAAAGTCGGACGACTATAAAAGTCGATTGAATTGAGCTTTGAAATGGTAATTTTTATTCCCATAAAAAAAACCCTAAAAAATTACCAAAACCTTTTCTCTCTCACTTTTTTATTATTGATATTCGAATGCGTTTCCTTTATTAAATTCGTCGAGTGGATTTTTTTTTTATATTTTTTTATGAATGTACAACTCATGTTCCTATGTATGTGTCAAATCAACATTCGGATTAAAGAAATCTTTTTGTTACGTTCGTTCAATTCTTGTTCTTCTCTTGAAATCTTTTATATTTTTTTTTTGTTCTTTATATGCTTAATAATATTATTACTATCGCTCTTTTTATTCGACGCCTTTTAATGAGATTACATTTTTCATTGCCCGGTTTGAGTAATTTTTATCTCTTGATGTGGTGGATTGAGGGATTGAAAACTCAGGCGCTTGTGGATATTGAATGAATTTTTAATTTTTGGCGTCATAAACTAAGCGTTTGTCTTTTCTTTTAATGGTCTATCATGATTTGATTCTAGAGCTACTTTAATCACCTACTCTTGTGTCAGTCAACCAATTTTGGAATTGAAATTCGATACATTTAACTTTGATGGATGCATTAAATTTGTATGTGACTAGGGTTGCCCTGGAAAATCCAGAATTCAGCCTAAAATTCACTTTAGTCACTCCTGGACAGTTTCTTGGATAAAAGCGTGAATTATTAAAATAAAAATCTAGGGTTTACCTGAATGGGTCTGTGGTAGATTTGTCAATTTTCACTTAATCTTACTATTTGTGTTTACACTTGTGTATACCAAACGTTATGCTTTGGGCAATGCTGAGGGGTTTAGATGGGTTACCGACACTTGCCCAGTGACATTTGCCCACTCTACATATGCCTATATGCATAGATCAGAGGTTGTCAAACTGTGTACCATAATAAAATTCTAGTTGTGCTGCGAAAAAATTTCATAGCTCAAACTGATCATATTCTCATGTTTCGACTTCTAGAAAAGTGTGCCATGGACCGAAAGAAGTTTGAGAAACACTAGTTGGATTGCATACCGTAGTAAGTTATTCGTCTTGTAGTACTTAATTGATTACTTGTGCTACTAAGCGCAATTGTTAGCGGGTTGAAGCTCTATTTAATATTAGCTTAGAGGTTCTAGTATAGGAATCGAACCTGTGGCTCTCAATTTTGTATTACATAATTGTCTTTCCTTTCTGACTTATTTTGTTGTTAAAACTGAAAGTCAAAGCTTGTATAATCCGTACTTGAAGTTCTAACGATACAAAAATGCTGCATGTGTTAATATTCTGCAAAAATTAAGCTTAACAAAGAATATTAACTCTAAGACCAGTTTCCATTCCCTCATCACAATTGTATATTACCTTCTCACACACCTACTTATAATTTAACAGTTTATTGTGATATTTTTTTTTCTTCATTTCATTCTCTCCATTCCCTTTCTATTCTTTTTACTTCATCCATCCTCTGTTGCTGCTGTGATATCTTAACTTAACTCAATTAAAACCTCCAGAACGAAAAAGAGCTTGTGTGAAGATAAAAAGTTTTGAGAAATAAGAAGAAATTTTGAATATGACATGGAAATATTATTTTAATGAACATTCACGACTTGACTCATAGAGTCGCAGCGAGATTAATGCGTAATTTATATCCACTTAATATTTTTATCAATCATATTCTATAAAAATGGGAATAATTTTATCTTTATATTGACACTAAACTCGACGCTTTATGTACGACGTTGACAGCCGTATTGCTGATGTGTAGGCATTCAGAAACACGAAAAACTCTTTTTTTTCTCTCATTTTTCGCCATAAAGCTGTCATGTATAATTTCTGCTTGTGCCAATTTGCAATAAGCCAAATCCACTTTGTTTTTTTTTTTTGGTAAATGTTTAAATTTTTTTTTCTTTTTTCATTCTTCTCAACTTTTTTGTAGACTCGATGCTGCTTGTAAAACGTGATAGCCGGCAGAGGAATAAAAAAATCTTATAAGTAGGAAACTTGGTAGATTTAAATTTTAATTTGAATAGCGAATTTATTGGTAGAAAAGAAATGATGGTCAATGGCTTATAAAGTGCCAAAAATAGTTTGGTGATTTCAAGAGATTCGAGATGTTCTGACAAATTAGAAAACAATTTTAAGAATGATTTCCTGATGATAATTGGTAGATGAAGAGAAGCTTAGGTGTTTGATTGAATAATTTGAATATTTTAGGCATTTAAGCTTCTATAAATTAATTTAATTGAATCTGATTATTTATTTAAATTTTGGAGTTTTTGGAGTTTCGACTAGTTCTTAATAAGAATATTAGTCAATGTTGATGTTAAGTATGTCTTTTTCTAGTTTAATTGACAATAAGTTACCTTTCTTTATATGCTGTAGTTTCTACGCCTCCTTTTTATCCTTGTTTGTGGTAAATCTAGGCAAAATAGACTGCATATGAGTGGATTATCAGCTCTGCTTTAAAACGTAGTCAAACTTGGTACATGATAAGACTCCGATTGGGTTTAAACCCAATTCCCAGCCATCACTAACCTCAACTTACTCATGTTCCTTGAAACTTATAGATTCTACTTCTAGACTATCAAATCTTGATGGCCCCATTAAGGATACTATTCACAATAGATTCTCGATTTTTTGTATAAAGTGGACTCAACTTCCATCAAGACGATCAATTTTTGTCATTAGTTCAAGAATTCATGTAGATTTTAAGATCATATTAGACACATTCCAAGACAAACTGCACACAATACCTTTTCAAAACCACTAATTCATTCACCACAAATCAACTACTCTTTATTTTTCTTAAGCAGTTGTTGTTCTGCACATTTTACTCTTGTGAGTTTTTTTAAATTCCATTTCTTCTTTGAAATGAACAATCCCGCTTAGTGCAGAGCAGCAATAAAATGTAAAAATGAATAAATTTTCAGTTGTATGTAAATTTGTATTATTGCAAATCTTACAACACTGCCAATGACAGTTGTTGAATGAAGTTAAAGATTTTATGTTTAAACATGAAATTTTTATTGAGTTTTAAGACAGTTGTTGGATTAAAATTAAAATGAGTTGGAATTGGTTAATTTTTTTATTGTTGGATTAAGCCAGAGAGGTGAGGGTTATGTAAGATTTTTGAGGGAATTTAAGTTGTGATATTATTGGAACTTTTTTAATCAGAAACTGATGATTAAAATTGAGAATTTTAATTTTTAATTTAATTTGTAAATTAGTGTTTAATGTCTTGTAATCTTTTAATGATTTTTTAATGCAAATATTGTCGCTATGAGCTCACAGGATTGAGATTGTATTTTGAATATGATTTTTTTTACTTTACTGGTCATATTTCCTGCACTAGTCTCATCACTTTCAACTCATATGTTATCTCCAGACGACCTTAAAGCATTACTAGATGTCACTTAATATTCAAGATCTTTAAATTAATTTTAAAATTCACAAATTTCCACCATTCTCACTTATCAATAAAAATCCGACAAAAAAAATCAATTTTCACTTAATCCACACGATCGAACATAAAAAAAATCCACTGTTGCATAGTTTCAACAGTTTCTTATCTAAATGTTCATGTTCATTTCGTCACGTAAATTCTATCAGCAAAATATCAAGAATAAATTTATTTCATTTTTTGTCTACATCAAGTAAGCAAACACTTAAATTTAGATAAAATAAACAAAAATGTACATTCATGTGTCATCAGTTCCTGCATATTTTCACACATCTACAAAAAGAGATCTCTTTTTATGACTGCATTTATTTAAATTTAGAATTTCAGATGATGCAATTTTATGTTGCTTGAAGTATTCATGTGAGAACTTTTTTTTGACCACACAGAAATTTTTGTGCTGTTCTTTGCTATTTGAGATGCAGTTGGAAACTAGATGAATCTAGAAACAGCACTTGGAGTGTAAATAATTTTTGGTCCTTTAGGAATTTGTGTTTTATTACATAAGGAAGCCATCAGAGGTCGCAGCTTTACTTGCACTATTTTTTTTTTTTTGATCGACTAATTGTTGGGTCTAGCATTTTATACAGGAATTTTCGTTATCTAAGTTGATTTATTAGTTGCGCGAAGTGTATCAGTAGTGCATTTGTTTCTTTCTTCGTTATTTGTTCCATACACATTTTTATGATGACCAGTAGTTGGTTGTGCTTATTTGATTCAAGTATCCATGGTTTAAATCTCAAAGAGTCTCGTAGTAAGCTACAGACCGTAATGTTGTTAAAAGAGTGGCTTGAATCCCATTTCAAACTGTAGGTCTAGATTTTAATAATCTAATCTTCCTTTACTTCACTCTTACCAGCCACTTTCTATCAATAGCTGCTTGATTATATCAGATTTGGAGCCAGTTTCTAGTGCTACCCAAGGCACTCTACCCCAGTTTTAGAATAAATTTCATTAATCTTCATGTTTTAATACATTAAATATCTTCCTACCCCAGAAAGACCTCGGCCACTGTAAACTGTAGGTCTAAAGAGTCTGGTACAGTTGATTTACATTTGCAGTGCCTACAACTCAAAAAACTGAGCCCTTCAACTTTATTATAATTAGGAATCCCTAAAACTTGTCATTTGAAGAGC